TAAGCTTCCAAAGGGTGTGCAGCAAATGCTGGGGAGGAGCCTGAGGATGGACTGGGGCTGGGCCTGCATGGAGGCCTGTGTCCCTCCCTGTCCTGGGCTCCAACACCAAACCCAGAGTGTCATCACAAATGAGGAGCTCCCAGATGCAGCAGGGGTTGAGGAGGGCCCCAGGAGGGGACACAGTGGGTTTCAAAGGGGTCTATCTTAGAGACAGGAGTGTCTGCAAACTCCAGCGTTGGGCTGGGGCAGGAGTTCTTTAATGGCAGTTTGTTAAAAGGGCTCTTTATTGGGAACAATTTTTTTTTTAATTGGATTGTGAGTCTTCTATATAGGAGAATCAATCAATTCTGCCACTGGGGTCTTTATATACTGCCAGCCAAATGCTACTTTCCCGAATGAGTTCTAAAATCTGTGACATTGAAGGAGTCCATGCAAGACCCTCTAAACCTAACCTGCTTTTATGAGATGGAGTTCACCCCAATGGTCTAGACAAATAATCTGTTAAAGCTTCCAGGTGTATCTTCCAAATAGTATCCTGCTAGTCCACTCACATTTCCCAGGATCATCATCCAGCCCCTGGCCCCACTGGGGCTCCAACCCCATGTCCCCTGGGCACTCTGCAGACAGCCCAAGATAGCAGTTTGTGGCCATCTCTCCACTCCAGGTGGTCAGGTAGGGGTGCAGACCATCACTTGCTCGGCAGGGTCAGTGTGAAGTGCCTTCAGAAGTCCAAGTCCCAGTGTTCTGGACACCAAGAATTGCACAAGTGGACCCAGGGAGACAGAAGAGGAACTTGGAGGATGGGACCCCAGGCACATCCACCTTGGGGTGAGGGGCAGGAAGGCCAAGTTCACATGAAGAAAAAACACCTACTGTTGCATACCTTCGTGAGCTACACATTCACATCCCAGAAACAGCAGGTGACAAAGATGTCACTGCAAATGCAGAGGCCTCCCCTAGGAGGACCAGAAAGGACAAAATTGCTCCTGTTTCTTGAGATCATGACTTTTGGGTGTGGCTGGTGTTGCCTTAAGTTTCTGGGGATATCAAAAGCTTAAGAAGTGACTCTTGTCATCACATGGCTGACCACCTCTGTGGAGAACAGTTTAGGGGTGTCCGTTTCCCCCACTGCATAGAGAACCTTGTGCCAGGAAAGATAGGCTGGACCTGGTTGTGGTCCCGTGAATGGTGGTGGGGAGACCAGAGCACATCGCAGGGCCCTGAGGGTGATGTGTATATCCAGTAGCAGGTGCTGCATGGAGGAGGCGAATGGTGGGTGCAGAGCTGGGTTAGTTTCAGCAGAGATGTGAAGGTATGAAGGTGATTCCTCTCTGGAGGTGGAAGCAAACTGGAAAACGGTTGGGCATGAACAGACCAGCCCAGGGAGGCAGACACAGTGTCTACCACCACACCATCTGCTTGGGGTACACCCTCCTCCCAGGACATAACAGCTCATGGTGGTTGGGTCTTGTCACCAGGCACCCTGAAAGCTTTCAGGTGGATGGTTTTGATCTCTCCTCACCTGGCTGGTTGGGCTGTAGGAGGACAAGCTGTGGAATTAACATGTGACCACTGTCCAGACAAGGCCTATTCTGCCTCCTTGCCTGGCTGTCCCCTTCTCGGGGCTGTTGCCCCTTCCTCTCTAGACCCCCTGCCTGCCAGGTGTGCGAGCCTTTCTGCCTGGACAGTCTGACTGAGACAGCCCTAGACTAATGGTCACCCACATTGAGCTCAAGTCCACCTTGCATGATGCCAAGCTTAGAAATGTCACCCTGGAATCACAAAATCCCTTCTCTGCATTATTAAGAAAGGCATTCGGTCACTCAGGGGTGCTGGAATCTTCCCCACCTTAAGGCTGAGCTCCAGTCTGCGGCCTATTCCCTGACAGGTACTTGGGCTCTCAGCCTCTGATGATCCCAAACCCTGTCTCTTCCCTAAGGGTCACTATCTATGGGATTTGCCTTCAGCCTAGGCATACCTGGTAAATGAGGTCTCCACACACTGGGTCACTAATCCCAATAAACAATCACTGGTGAGTTCCTGAACTCTCAGACTGGAGCTCAATAGTCCAACTAGGGACCACCACTGGGGTCACAAAATGGCCCTGACTCCCAGTTCTCTGGATCTGTGATCAGAGCAGCTTCCTAACCTCTCTAGTCCAATAGAGGTGAGGGCTCCCTTTCCCTGCCAAAGGGGCCTCCTCCAAGCCCTCCCATGCCCCAACAACACTCTCTGTCCTCTGGCAGACCCTTACCTGCCCACGTCTTGCACAAAGTGCACACTGGGAGGCAAGGCAATGTCTCTGCAGTAAGAGGGACTTGGAGCAGTGCTCCACAGGCAGGCAGGCAGGCTCCAGCTCAATGTCTGAGAAAGCAGGCTCCTAACAGCCTCAATGCCCTTTTATTGGCATGGGGTCAATGCAGTAGCAATGTCTGGATTGTTGAGGGTTTTGGTGGGTGACCAATGCTGGGGGATCCTCCCTCTACCTTCCTCATCCAACACAGATCATGTGGAATGTGCCAGGCCTGTGCTGGGCAAGAAGGATGGCTAAGATGGCCTGAGACAGGGTCCTTTGATGAACAGTCCACTGGGATGGGGTCTGCAGTGGCCCCTAGACAATTTCAGCCTCTGCCACTCATCTTGGTCATGGTGCCACAGAAAATGTGGCAAGGCCAGGACTGTACCTGGGGCAGCTGGTCTTGCTCTTTGGTTCTGGGGAGAAGGAGGGCAAGGTGACTGCGTTCAGGTAGAGGAGCTGTTGGCTTGAGGCGGCTACCCTAAGAAGCAAGTAGGAAACCAAGGAACCACTGGCCTGCAGATGGGACAGGATCCTGGGCCCCCAGAGTCACCAGCCACATGGCCTTGGGAGTGTCACTTACTCCTGTGACTGTAGCACAATAAGGGGTTAGATGACAAAGTCCCTGAGGTCCTGACCAGCTTGGGGAAGAAGGCCTAGGACTGAGAGACGCAGCAGGGAGGCTGACCAGGGTCACCTCCCAGGTCCAGGCACCTTTCTTATAAGTGCTTCCCAAGCTGCCCTTCAGAGAAAACAGCCTCGGCCATGCCCAGCAGGAGACAGCATACACCTGAGTTCCTACCAGTGCCCTCATGAACCTGCCTGAGGGTGGCCATGTTTTCACATCCCACGTGTGCCTATCTCCATCAGCACTGAAAAGACAGCAAACGCCAGCATGCCAGGGGTTTACCCAGCAAGCCCAGCACATACCCCCCCGAGTGTCCTGGCAGACCTGTGCCAGCTGGGTTCAGTGACAGTTGGCCCTGCCATGGGATCTGGTCTCCCCATCACCCTCCAAGGGGGAAGCAAGTAGTTGTGAGGGGTAGCCCGGCTTGACCTGTCTTCCCTGGCACGACGCTGTCTCCATTTGCAAAGTGGGGACTTCAGGCACTTGGTGCAGAGGAATGGGTAGTGGATCAAAAACCCCCAACCATGCCCCCTGCCACATCAAGGAGCCCAGTGATGGGGGTTTTCTTCCCTCCCTCTGAGGTAAGACTAGTCTGTTAAACTTTCAGTACTAAAAAATAAAACCTAGTGGGAGGAGGGTGAGGACTGAAAAACTACGTTATCAGGTATCATGCTGATTACTTGGGTGACAAAACTATCTGTACACCAAACCCCTATGATCCAATTTGCCCAGGTAAGAAACCTTGAACCAAAAATAAAAGTTGTAAAGAAAAAACAAATAGAAAATAAGGTAAAATCAACACATCCATATTAGTGTGAGCTGGCTGTGTAGTTTAGTCTGAAATGACAGAATACTAATTTTTCTTCTCTTTGAGGATAGTGACCACACTATCCTCACCAAGACTGGCAGGGGAAGCCCCTGGGCTTTGTGACTCTGTCCCTGTGGGGCACCCTGACATCCAGTGAGCACTTCCCAGGGGAGCAGCCTGGTTTGGATGCCTGTTCCCCAGACCCCGCAGTCAGACAGCAGGCAGGAGCCTCAGGGCCATGGGAGTTCCCCTGTTCCAGGGACATAGCCCCAGTTCTTCAGGATCTTGGGCCATATGGGCTGCTGGGCCTCTGACCACCAAGGAGGGAGTTTTTCAAGGACTGGCCAGGTTCTGGACTGACAACTCTGTACTTTTCATTCACAAAGCGAGCCATGCTGTCTCTTCCCCAGCTGAGCTGGCTGCCAACAGACCCAGTGGGGAGCAGATTTGAGGTGGGGGTGAGGTCTGTTCCCCAAGCGCGGTGTTCTGGGCAGTGAGTTCTCTGTGCAGCAGCTGATGCCTCTTGGACACATTTCCACACAAAACACTTCTCAACTGTTCTCCCTCCTGCACTCTTCAGGGGCAAATACGCCTCTCCTTTCTGGCGGGTTATTTCTGGCCCTGGGAGTATGCTAAGCAATTCCAAGGATTGCCTTTGAAACAGTCTTCATTCAGTCAAGAAGTACTTCTCACACCCCTAGGTCCTGTCCTTGGGGTGAGCAGGGTCGGAGGAGGCTGGAGATGGATACCCATGGAATGGAGTGGGGCACAGAGAGGGAGAGTCGGCGATCTGACCAAGGAAGAAGCAGGTGGCCGGCCACCTGGGAGGGTTCTGTGTTAGACAACAGGTTACGTCCTGGAGGAAACCCATTGCGAGGGCTCAGCACAGGTAACGGCAGGTATGCACCTGGAGACCATGGAGAACCTCGGAGCCTGGTGGGCAAAGGTGGCCCTCCAGTGGAATCATTCCCAACTCTGCACTCACCCTAACCTTTCCGGTAACTACAGAATTCCAGAACCCATTTGAAAGGATGTAAGATCTCTAGCTACATTCTTTTTTACCCCCCAGATGAAAATCTTACAGGATTTCTAAAGCTGTGTAAGATCTTGCCCAGTGCATTCAAACCACATAGAAGACAACCCCGAAGAGGTCCCCATGCTGGTGTTTGCTGTGTACATTGGCCTGGGACCTCGAGGTTAGAATATAACAATAATGATCATGCACAGACAGAACTGTCTCAGCAGCAAATGTCACACACAGACCCAGAACTGCTTAAATACCAATTTATTGCAAACCAACACTGAGGAACTGGAACAGCTTTGCAGGCTGGACACCTCCTCTCCTGGGGCCCTGGACAAGGGGAATGATTCACCCCGCTTTCCTTGGACCTCAGCTGGTAGGACTTAGTGGCTGGCCAAACTGCGGCTGTTGTGTCTAAAAAGAGAAAACAGGCAGGGTGTGCCAGCTCTGGAGGCTGGGCCAGTCCAGGGTGGTGGCTCAGGGCAGAGAATCACCCACCAGACAGCATGGCTCATGGGGACAAGGCGTGCAGGGACAGGCTCCACAACCACACCAAGCACCACAGTGTGCACTGGGACCAGATGTGGGTGGCTGCTCCTGCCATGGGGCCAATACCCAATACTGCCCCTCAGCTGTTCTTCCTAGACACTCGTTTACCATTTATTAAAGCAGGGCAGGGAGTGGGGAGAAATGCAACACAGAATATAAAATCAGGCAAAACAAACACTAGTCACCATAGAAGTGAATGACCCTCAAAGTCTCCCAAATAACAAGGTGTAGGGCATCTCACACCACTTTATCACTTCTGGAAGACTGCCCACAGGGTGGGGGCTGCAATGCGGGTCAACACAGGAACTACAGAGAAGAGAGGAGACACACACCACGAGACCTCTTTTCATGAGGCAGGAAAGCTCTTGTGAAACAGTGGTGTGCAAATCCTAGGACCTCAATGGGAACTCCAGGAAAAAAAAATGACAAAGCCTGTCTCAGGACCTCTCATAGATGACAAGAGTTCTGCTCCCCAGGGTTGAGGCCTCTTAAGCAGGGCTTCACCAGCTCAGTGGCAAATATCAGACAAGGTTCTCACATTCCAAAGTGGGTATATGGGGTCTTCTGCTCTCCCGTGATGATCACAGCAACAGTCTGGACCTACAGATGACTTCCCAGGAATGCTTTCTTACAAGGGCTGTCAGTCACCACTGTAAACCAGAAACCAACCACCAACTGACTCTCCTAGACAGCCCCCGCAACCCAAGTATACACAGAGAGAGCATGCAGGGGCAGGGTCCTTCCCCTGATGGCGGGCTCTCTTAGCATCTGCAGGCCTTGATTCTTGCTGGCTGTGCATGGTGCCAGAGTGCACTGCCCTGCTGTGTGGCTTATCCATGCCCTGGGCTTGATGGACAGGCAAATGGACAGTGCCAGTGGTAGCTGAACCATACTCCCGGTGACAGGCACCCAGAGCCCCTGTGAGTACTTAGGGCATAGGCCTGGGACCCTGTCCCATGATCTTGTCTTTGCATCTTGGCTGGAGCCAGTCAGCAGCCATGGCTCAGGGCCTGGGCTTGGGCGTCCTGAGGTGGTGGCCAGTCCCTGGAGAACAGGTAAGATGGGGCCATAAGCTCCAGGGAACTCAGTCTGGCACCTGACACAGAGGATGGGAGTCTTCACTGTCTTCTGGTTCAGTTGTGGTGGGACAGTGTGCCTTCACGCCCCATGCAGAAATTCCTCCTCTCCCAGAAGCCCCTCAAGGTCAAGGCTTCTCAGGACTTGTGGCTGGCGTGCTCTGCTGATGAGCTGATGGACATGCTGTAGTCTCTTCCTGAGGGCGCCAGCTCTCCACTCCTGCCCACACTTTGACACAGTGAACCCAAAGAGGATGTCTTATAGGGAGCCAAGCAGGGCATGCCATGCTGTGGTGGCCAGGCTTGGTTCACTTCAACAAGATCCAAAGCAAGGTCGCCACAGTCAGAGAACAGACAGAATCCCCATTGCATGTGGACCTGAGCCCAGAACCTAGGCTTTCTCCCAACATCTAGAACATGCAAACAGGGCTCCAGCTTCCACTGCTCTGACCATGACGCTGAGGCAGGCAGGGCACATTTATAAGGGGATGAGCAAGAAGACCACATCAGTCCTCCCAAAACAGGTCAAGGGGCAAGGAGCTTCCCAAAGCAGCCCCAGGCACAGTTGCACAGTCATTACTTGCTTGCCCTCATGCAAGCACTGAGCTTCACACACTTCAGTGACTTCAGCTTCGCCTGAGAGCCCAGCAACAACTTCACACTCCAACCAGAACACATGCAAGCAGAACAGCGTCAAAACAACAGCAAGCAGAGAGCAGGGGGAAAGACATGCTGCCTGCAGTGGCTGTTGCTGTGGAGACAAAAGCACATGATCCCAATTTGTTGGGATATCCTCTCTTGCATTTCAAACACCTTCACTCAGTGTCAGCCACAGCAGCCACCACATAGCAGCGGGCACTGCACCTTCTCTGGAACAGTCTGGAGATGCAAGGTCAGGGTGGAAGGCCTGGTTCACCATTGAAAGAAAGGATGGCTAGGGGTAAACAAGACGAACAAGTCCCTAGAACACAGGGGGAGCCGAGGAGGGCGGCCGAGGACAAGGCCTCTGCCTCCCCACCGATGAGGGTTTCCTTTCCTTCTGGTCATTAAAACTGCACAGCCCCTGGGGAGATGTTGAACATGGCGGGGTCGAATCGCTGGCCTCGGAAGGGAGAACCTTCAGCATCCCACCCCTTCTTCAGCATCTCATGGACTTTCTACAAACAGAAAATAAAGAGATTAAAGGGGATCACAAGGCACTGTGCACTTTCTCCCAGAGCAGACTCTGACTGCAGGCAAAGAGCCTTCCTGCTTCCTCAGGGCTCAGGCACTCGCCTGGCAAAACAGAGAACCGTACTGCCCTGGAACGGCCTTCAACTAAGGGAGGCACCGTGTGACTACCAATTTCTCTGCAAGGTTGTGCTCCACAGACTGAGTTTCTAACCCACCATCTTCTGTCCTCAGCAAAGCTCTGGCTGCTCTTCATGGTTCGTCTTGTCCCTTTTCCATCAAGATCTCTGTACAAATTCCAAACAGCCTACAACGTCTATGGTCCCACTAGGCATAGACTATGGCATAAAGAGGAGTGTCCCAGCCCCACTGGGGTCATAGAGAAGGTGTGTAAAATGCTCAAGCCCCCATCTGATGAAGGTGTGCAGAGAGGATACCCTAGCACCCCAGTTATCAGCAACAAGAATTAGATCATCAGACAATCCAGGGTTGACCCAGGATGTGGCATGGAGGAAGAGACTTCAGAATGTCCAGTGGTAGGCCCGCCAGTCAGGAATTCCCCACTGCATCCTTGCAGATGCAGTCAGAGTTGGTTAACTAAGCTGTTGCCAACATGTGGCTATTCTGGAACTATCTAGCCTCCAAGGGTCGGAAGCAAGCCTGAGTGTGTGGCCATGGCAGGGGACATCAGGAAGATTGGATCCTGAGGGAAGCATCTGTACCTGAGCTAGCAGGCCCTCTCTCCTCACAGGGACTCCCTATCTGCCCTCCTCATGTGGCCACCATGAGTACACTGAGGACTGGGGATGATCTCTCCTTCCTTCTGACCTTCTGACCAGAGACAAAAGAGACTATGCAGGGCTAGTAGTTACTCTACCAATATGATGCATAGTCCCTGTTGCAGAAAACGCTGTAGCCTAGGCCCAGAAGATGAGGCTGTGGGACTCTCAACACCAGGGCTTCTCCTTAAATAAAACACAATCTTCCTGACAAGAGTTTGGCCGGGCGCGGTGGCTCAAGCCTGTAATCCCAGCACTTTGGGAGGCCGAGGCGGGTGGATCACGAGGTCAAGAGATCGAGACCATCCTGGTCAACACGGTGAAACCCCGTCTCGACTAAAAATACAAAAAATTAGCTGGGCATGGTGGCGCGTACCTGTAATCCCAGCTACTCAGGAGGCTGAAGCAGGAGAATTGCCTGAACCCAGGAGGCGGAGGTTGCAGTGAGCCGAGATCGCGCCATTGCACTCCAGCCTGGGTAACAAGAGCGAAACTCCATCCCAAAAAAAAAAAAAAAAAAAAAAAAAAAGAGTTTTCTCTTTCCTGTTTTAATTTTTAGAGATGGGGGTCCCACCGTTTCCCAGGCTAGAGTGCAGTGGTGTGGTCACAGCTTAGTGCAGCCTCAAACTCCTTGGCTTAAGCGATTCTCCCACCTCAGCCTCTTGTGTACTTAAGACTATGGGTGCAGTCCACTATACCTGGCTTCTTTTTCTTTTTTTAAAACCAAAGTGATGCAGCAACAAGCATATCAAAGACGTGTACTATATACTATAGATTAATTGACATTACTATCAATTTCTTGCGGGCAATTCACATCAGAGACTTTAGAAAGACCATTTTGAGAACAAGGTCCTGCAGCACACATGGAGTGGCTAGGGGTACAGAGAAGACTACATGAAGCCCCCTCTTCTGCCCACTGGAGGTGTGAGGCTGGACAGCCTCAACCAAACACAAGAACGGATGACTTCAGCAGGCAGCTGCACAAAGCCTCTGAACCTTTCAACAGAATCCTGGCCAGCTGTAGGGCAAATGACAGCTGCAGAACCCTGGAGCCACCACACTCGTACCCTGGGAACTGGGTGGCTGAATGGGGGCCCGATGTAGGATGCCCAGAGTGCAAAGGGCAGATTAGTAGACTTGATCTTACAACAGAAGGAGTACAGGGTATCAAGATCAGCACTCAGACCTTTCCTGAGACAAAAGTGGACTGCAGGCATTCCTGTGTATCACCAAATTCACTCTTATGACCAGAGACCATGCTAATGCTATCTGCCTATGAGATGTCACAATTACTAACTGTTAGGGTGAATCCTACCAGGCTGAAGAGATCCTAGACACAGACACATCTGAGAACAGACAGAGCAATGGCACCTGCACATTCTACATTCCCTTTCTAGATGGGGGAATCCTGCTCAAAAGAAATTAAATTAGGGAAAAGATGAAGGGTATTAAATTTGTTGACTTTGGAAAGAGGTTATCGTATAGTGACACCAAAGAATTTAGAACAGTAAGAGGAAAGTATTGTCATTTCAAAATAAAATTGCTTCAAAATACACAGCATCTGTGGCATTAGAAGCACAATTTGAAATCTTGGCAAATTTAGAAAACTCCGAGTTCACACCATAAATGGGCATCAATGCCAGAGCATGCTGGTAACTGTGACTATGCCGACGTGAACGGCAGATGGAGGCTGACAGGAGAACCTGGCCCTGTTTCCATTCTCTCTCCTTAGCGAAGCCTGGTGATCCCACTGAAGCAGCTCCGGCACCATAATTCTCACGACAGTCCCTCTGCCTGTGAGGTATCCCTCACGACACCTGAATAAAATGTGGCTAAACTGCTACATGAGGCGACATAAGGGAATGGACCTACCTTCTAGGTCTGTTTCCTCATTTGATTTTTTTAAAAAAGGCTTCAGTCACTAAAGACATTTTACATGAAATCTCTGTGTGCTGCAAGCCTCTATATGCTGAAGACCCTTCCCCAGATCCTGTCATGCCCAGGAAGAAGTTGAGACTTTAGCATCAGCACCACACAGGTGCTTGGGCACACATTTTGAATGACCATAGACCCAAGAGGTCAGTTCATTACTGTCTACAGCTGTGGCCTGAGAGCTGGAGGCTCCCTGGCTGAGGAGCAGGTCAATCCCAGGGAGGGAGTCACCCTGGGTCCTACCACTGTGCCACCGGCCCTGGGCTCCTGCATGTTGCTGAGGATCTCACAGGGCACTTTGGGGAGGGACACATATTCTCTCAAGGGTCAGCATGCTGCCTGGCCCATGGCAAGTCTACAGTAGAATAGATTTAGATTCAACACAGAGATCTTTCCACTGGACCACAGCATCTTCAAGGTTCTTTGAATACTTCCTAACTGGGTCACTGTTGCCCAGTCTATGGGCTCCCCAGGGCTAGGTCACAAGAAGCTGTTTGTCAGACATGGAGACCTTCTGCTCCATACCTGAGCTGTGCAGCGCCCTAGGGGCCAGAAAAACAGCTTGCCAAGAGGATATCAACAGGATAACCCCACTGAATTGCCCTCAGAGCAGGGCAGCAGGGCACGAAGGGGATGCCAATTGCACCCTGCGATGCTACATGTGTGCAAGCATGCCTATGCATGGTGCATACATACAATGTGCAATGCTGTCATCTTTCACCCCTTGAGGCTGACAGTGAGAATCCAGGCAGGAGTTTGAGGTCGAGAACTGCCTGGAAGCTGCCTCGGCTTGCCTGGAATGAACAGACCACCCCTTTCCTGCTCCTGGGTAGTGGGCTGGGCAACAAGCCACCAGAATGAGGAGGTCTTGGGCCTCCAGAAACGGAGAGACAAGAGCAGCTGCTTCCTGGGGAGGATTACCAATGAGACTGCAAAGCAAGACTGAAATACTCTTTGGAGAAGGTAAGATTAAAATGGCTGGAATCCTAGCACCACAAAGGCAGATCTGTGTCTGTCTTCTTCACTGACATGCCCCATAGGGGGGTGAGACTGCACAATGTTACAAGGTGTTGGCACAGAACATATAGGATGGGGGAAAGAGACTGAGAGGAACGTCAAGGAAAGGGAAAGATACAAGGGAAAGAAAAGGGGAAACAGAAAGAAAGGAGGGCAGGGGAGGGGGCAAGGATATAGAGAAGAAGATGGGAAGGCTGGTGGAGCCCCTGACACCTCCATGCATGTCCTTGGCACTACTGGCAACTCCAATGATGAGCAGGTATTACTACTATTTTGTTTTTGAATGTAGGTTCTGTAAGAGATATAATCACAGGAAAAATGAGGGCTTAAGAGAGAAAAACAGCCAGAGCATCCTAGCTTCCCTCATGTCTCAACCACTAAAGTCTACAGAAAACTGGCAGAGCATGATTGCTCATGCACTTTGGGAGGCTGAAGCAGGTGGATCACCTGAGGTCAGGAGTTTGAGACCAGCCTGGCCAACATGGTGAAATTCCATCTCTACTAAAAATACAAAAATTAGCAGGGCATGGTGTCATGTGACTGTAGTCCCAGCTGCTGGGGGCGGGGGTGGGCAGGAGAATTGCTTGAACCCAGGAGGCAGAGCTTTCAGTGAGCCAAGATCACATCGCTACATTCCAGCCTGGGTGACAAAGCGAGACTGTCTCAAAAAATAAATAAAGAATTGTCTGGGTTCTGTGGCTCACACCTGTAATCCCAGCACTTTGGGAGGCCAAGGTGGGCAGATCACAAGGTGAGGAGATCGAGACCATCCTGGCTAACACAGTGAAACCCTGTCTCTACTTTAAAAAAAAAAAAAAAAAAAAAAAAAAATTAGCCAGGTGTGGCATCACGTGCTTGTAATCCTAGCTACTTGGGAGGCTGAGGCAGGAGAATCGCTTGAGCCCAGGAGGCAGAGGTTGTAGTGAGCCGAGATTGTACCACTGCATTCCAGCCTGGGCAACAGAGCGAGACTCTATCTCAAAAAATAAAAAATAAATAAAATAAAAGAAAGGCTATAAAAAACTTCATGAAGGCTTTGGCAAATGCAGATACCATTCAAACTACAATAAATAATTTTTATCATCTCTTTGTAACAAAGACTCAGTGTCAGCGTCTGGGGAAGATGCTAGGAACCACCTGACCTTAGTCCCTCCATCTTGTGGCACAAAAAGACACTTCTAAAGGGCATGTAGTAAGACTGCCTTCTTACCTGCCTGGGACAAAGAGCATCTGGGTTCATGCTTTATAGTTAAAACAGACTATTTCTCCCAAAGGTCAACTCATGAATACATTTCAGCCTTTCTGTGGACCCAATGCTGAACATGGGCACAGAGTGGGTAGGCCCCTCATATACCTATCCCCAAACACTAACATGCGAAGCCCATCCGTAAGGCAAAGGTTCAAAGGCTGGCCTTTCATCTGGTGGCCACAGGCAAATACAGTATAACTGGAATGAACCCTAACCAGGCAGGTCTGACTGTCTAAGCAACTGAGTTGAGCTCAGCTGAGCACATGCTGTAGTACTACATGAGGCCACTTCAAACTGCAGGGACATGGGCGAAGCAGAGATATCCTTTAAGTTTGCCATGCCCCAGGTGGAAAAGGGGGCCAAACCTAGAGGAATGGTCTCTTGCATAGAGACAAGGGCCAGGGTGAGCAGGGCTGCAAGGAAAGAAAGGTCTGAAATCAGATCAGAGGTCAAACCCCATCCCTGCTGCTTAAGCTACTGAGTCACAACCTCAGAAATTCAATCTCTCTGTTGTGAAAACAAAAAACTGTCTTTTCAGGAGTACTGTGCAGCCAGTCAACCCCACCTTATCTATGTGTACTAAGTGCTCAGGCATGCCCCTGATGTGGCAGGGCCAGGTGAGGAGAACACGCCAATACTCCTCTCCACAGGCTCTTTGACCTCACAACAGCAGGATACGCTTGCCTATGAAGACAAGCAAGAATGGACGACACACAGCAGCAGGGCTTGCAGAACCACCTACGATGTATTAACACATGTTGTACCGGAAGGCAAGACTAAGATAATCCAGTGCACCACAAGGTAAGGCTCCTCCAAGAGACAAATGAGAAGAAAATATGAATCAGTGGTCCTCAGGGGGAAGAGGTGGTCTGTGTTTACAGAACAAAAATAAGGACACCGTGCCCAGCAGCTGACCCCTCTCCACTGACTCAAGGGTGCACTGGGTCCATGTACCCTGCCATGCCGGGTATATGGGACACAGAAAGTTAAAAATAATCTAAGGAAAGCAACCCTCTTTTCCCTAAATAGCTACTCTTGGGATTATTAAAATAGGAAGAAAGAATGTATACATCTAATGAATCATTCTCTTTGGCCATGTGCAAACTCTACACTGGGCACTATGCTGCTCAAACAGGAACCTTTTTCTTTCTCCTCCTGAACCCACTGGCCTCTGACATCCAGAAACTGGCTCCACAGCCTGGCTCCCTCTCCTCCTCTACCAAAGGTCCCACCAAGGGACTCTTCATTGGAAGACATGTGCAGGTGAGGCATAAACAAGAGCCATGAACACATCTGATGTTACCAGGCTCTGGTACAGGTAGGGCACATCTCATGACGCCCTTAGAGGTCCTCTTATCTGGGCTCTCGGCCCGGGTGTGAGAATACAGCTGAAAGACCAGAGTGTACCTGTGATCAGGTACAAGAGGAGGTGAGACAGATTCCTTGCTAGGCTAGGACATGGCAGGCAGCCCGTCCACACATCCTTCGTCCCCACCATCATCACCAACCCCTCTGTCACTATCAGCCTTGTCACTAGGATGAGGGCCTAAAGGGTGGGCTCTCCAGGACTGCTGTGCTCGTACCAGCTCATGGCTCTGTGGCTTGCCCTGCAGCTTCTGGTGGTAGTCAAAGGTAAGCCTGTCCAGCACCGCCTGTTCCTCCTCATCCACAGTGGCCATGGAGCGCTCCTTGTTGATCTTGTCAATGTCGATGGGCTCCTCTCCCTCCAGGATAGCATTCCACCAATACTCGCCCACCTTGCTCAGGTTTACCTGGGGACAAGCAGGACAGAGACGAGTCAGGGTCAGAAGACACAGCAGAGTCCGCTGAAGGATGGGTGTCCAGGACTGAGGACAAAGCAGAGCCCACTGAGGGGTGGGCATCCAGGACGACCTCAGGACCAACTACACAAAGGGAGGTGACACACAAGAGGGGGTGCCAGAACCCAAGGCAGGACCCACCGCTCCTAGGAATGCATTTGCTGCCTATGCTAACACATCCCAGGAAGAGCTAGGAGGGAAATACTTGAGGGAAATGACATTCTGGAAGATTCCTTTGTCCTTCTTCACCAGGTCCTGCATACTCAGGACAGTGCCTGTCCCACGTGCTTACCTTGCCCACTCTCACCAAGAAAGGCTGTTTTCTAAGACCCCTGACACCATCACCCTCCATGCCAGGAACTGTCCTGGGCCATCCAGCCTGCCCCCATGCTTGCCATGGAAGGCCCTGCCTAGCTCTTACCAACCAACTACCTCTCCAATGATCTCTCTTGCTTCCAAGAACAACCCCCAGCATTCTGCTAGGGACCTGCAAGACTTAGGGCTCAGCTTAATGGATGACAGAATCTCCTAGGGACTCCTCACCCCATGACAGGGCACCATGCCCTGTCCCTACTTCTTCCTCCCTGGGGCCAAGCCTGTTGCATGCGTGGGTCCTCCAGCCCCATTCCCTAAAGCTCTGATGGCTCAGGAAGGAGGAACCACCATCAAGAACCAACCCCAAAAGTGGTCCCAGCCTGCTCAGGTACCTCTGTGAGGATGGCACAGACACATCTTGGTCAAAGGAAGCAGCACCCAGCACTCATGATGCAGCCCTCAGTGCTGGGGGTCTGTGAGACTCATGTCATTACCATAAAACCTCAAAGACAACTGGAACTGCAGTATGAGAGCAAACATGAGGGATTCCTGTATGTACCTAAGTGACCCTGGCAGCTTGGCCTGCCACAAGGACACAGGGGAGGGCCCTGGCCACACCATGCCCCGTTATCAGTGGTCATGGGGACACAGAAAGCAAGAAAACTGGCTGCATCTGCTGTGGTCAGTGGCTGGGCTTGAAATTCTTACCAGAGTGGCCAAGAAGCAACAGAGTGGGTTTGTCCACTTTGTCCTAGAACTGCCTACTCTCTGATGGGATTAAACTACTAAGGTGCTCACAGAAAGGGCGAAAAGGCAGCAAAGGGCCAGCAAGTGAGAGCAGCTTTCATTCACGGAGGTACAGCCACCAGGACACTTACTGACCAGGTGGGCAAAACCTACCAAACCACGCTCAGGGTAACTGTGATACCCAGGAGTCCACAGTGAGTCCACAGGACATCATGTATCCCGAAAGGGAGCACTGGAGACTCATCAGCAAACACAGGCTTGAGAGAGCAGTGTCCTAATGCTGCACTTTCCACCTCCCTACCTCCAAGCCCCTGCTGGCAAGACCTACCCACACCACAGATGGTACTCAGCACCAGACCTTGCAGAGCCCAGGGATCCAGCCCAAGAATGTGCTCTACTAATGAAGAGGGGGGACACTGATGATGTGCAGGGGGGTGCACAGTGAAGATGTTCTAAAACTGGGAAGAGCAAGACAAAAACTTGCAATCATAATCTGATGCCAGCATCCCAAAAATCTTGTCTGACATTCCCAGTGCAGATAGGGAGAGTGGTGAACAGGGGGAGTGGGTGGTTCCCCTCCCTACACGCCAGCTCTACCGAGTAAATGACGCTACTCTGCCAGTGCCCAATTTAAATTTGGGATGAATCTTCCATTTCCAGATACTCTGCTCAGCTGGTTTGTCGCTGACTTTACAGTTTGTGTGATAGGACCTGACTCACCCTCAGAGACCCCAATACTAAGAACTCTACCCCATCTTTACCAAGTCGATACAATGAAAAACCCTCGAAGAGGGTACATTGTTTTCTCTATTCCAGGAAAGACTTCAGAGGAACTTACAGAACTGTAAATTTCTGGAAAGAAGAGACCCTTTTTTTTTTTTTTTTTTTTTTTTGTCAGATTTTT